CCCGGGGGCCCCCCTTCCTGGGAGCCCCCTGGGGGCCCCCTTTCTTGGGGGCCCCCTAGGTCCGTTTTTTCTTGGGGGGCCCCTGGCTCCTCTCCTCCTTGGGGGCCCCCAGGGGCCCCTTTCTCAAGGGGGCCCCCTGGGGGCCCCCCCTCTTTCTCGGGGCCCCCGGGGGGCCCTCCCTCTTTCTGGGGGCCCCCAGGGGGCCCCCCATCTTGGGGGGCCCCCGAGGGGGCCCCAGCGAAATTAAACCCTAGGGAGTCCCCTGGGGGGCCCCTCGGAAGTTCCGATTGGGGGCCCCCAGGGGCCCCGTCTTGGGGCCTCCCGGGGGCCCCCTGCTGCAGGTACCCTACAGGGGGGGGCCCCATAGAAGGGGCCCCCAGGGGGGGGCCCCCATATGGGGGACCCTCTGCTGGGGGGCCCTCTGGGGGGCCCCCTCCAGGGGCCCCCGGGATGCTGGAGGGTACTTCTTTTTTAGTTTCAAGATTTCTTTTTTCGGGCTCAAAGACAGAAGCAGCAGCTTCTCCTGCTGCTGGGCAAGGAGCAGCAGCAGCAGCAGCAGCAGCAGCAGCAGCAGCAGGGCGTGCTGGAGGGGATTCTGCTGAAGCGTTTGGGACGCCGCCCAGCTGCGGCTGCATTGCTGCTGCTGTTGCTGCTGCTGCTGCTGCTGCAGCTGCTGCAGCTGCTGCAGCTGCGGCTGCTTCTGCTGCTACAATTTAAAAGTTAACTACGGCCTCGGCTGGCCGCAGCCAGTGAAGGGGGGGAGCAGGAGCAGGTGCTGCTGCTGCTGCTGCAGCTCCTGCTGCTGCTGCTGCTTCTATATGTGTGGGACGTATAGTTGCTGCTGCTGCTTTGTCTGATGCTGTGGCTGCTGCTGCGGCTGCTGCTGTTGCTGCTGCTGCTGCTGTATAGCGGCAGCACCGCAGGAGCTGCTCTTGCTGGTATTGTTGCCGTTTCTGTTGCTGCTGCTGTCGCTGCTGCTGTTGCAGCTGCTGTCGCAGCTGCTGCTGTTGCTGCTGCTGCTGCTGTTGCTGGTTCTGCTGCTGCTGCTGCCGCCGTTGCTGCTGCGTTTGCCGCTGCTGCTGCAGGCGGCTCCACGGGGCCACGACAGCAGCGGTTTTGGCGTTCCAAGGCTAAGGGTTTAGGGTTTAGGGTTTAGGGTTTAGGGTTTAGGGCCTGGGGATCAGGGTTTAGGGTGTGGGTGGTGGGAGTGATTGGAGAGCAGCCTCGGCGGGGGCAGGGGGCCCGCACTAAATTGTTTTCTGCGTTTTTGAGGAAATAAAAAGAAATAAAAAAATAAAATGAATAAAATAAATAAAATAAATGATTGATTAAATCATTTAATTCAACTACAACGAAGTTGCAGCAGACACCGGGGCCCCAGGCGACTGTCGGCAGCCACAGCGGCCTCACAGGATCTAGGGTTTAGGGTTTAGAGTTTAGCGTCTCGTGTCCTCTTCTGCACTTTTTGATATTTTTCAGCTTCTGAAGCTTAGAGTTCAGAGTGTAGGGTTTAGGGTTTAGGGTTTAGGGTTTAGGGTTTACGGTTTACGGTTTACGGTTTAGGGTTTAGTAGGCGCTGCCGCCACTGCAGCAGCCCAGTGGGCGGCACCGACCCGCAGTGGTTTCACCGCGGCAATTATTTATTTGTTTATTTATTTATTTATTTATTTATTTATTTATTTTTATTTATACATTTCTTTGTTTTACTTATTTTATTTATTTTATTGATTTATTTTGTTTTATGTATTTATATTTTAAATTGGTTTATATCTGAGACAAGAAACAAAGACGGAAGACAAGAATCGAAGGCTTACAGCGATCTGTCTAGCTGGCCCAGCTAGCTAGCTAGCTAGCTGGCCAGCTGGCTAGCTATATGGCTAGCTAAAGAGCTGGCTAGCTACCAAGCTAGTGGCTAGCTAGCTGCCGCTAGCTGCAGCAGCTGGCTGTACCTTGGTCGAATTATTTGGCTTGCTGCAGCTAGCTGTAGCTAGCTGCAGCTAGCGGTGGCCAGCTGCAGCTAGCTGTGGCTAGGCGTGGCTAGCTGTAGCTAGCTATAGCTAGCAGTGGCTAGCTGTAGCTATCAATGGCTAGCTGTAGCTTCACGGATGGCTAGCTGGCTAGCCATGTACAAGCGAATGACTAAGCAGCTAGCTAGCCAGCTAGCTGGCCAAGTAGTTGGCTGGCTAGCTGCATAGATACAAATGAACAGCTAGCTAGCTAGCTAGCTAGGTAGCTAGCTAGCTACGCGGCTAGCTAGCTAGGCAGCTAGCTAGCTAGGCAGCTAGATAACCAGCTAGCTAGCTATTTAGCTAGCTAGTCATACGGAAGCGAAGAACCAAGCAGCTAGCGAGTTGGCCACCCAGCTAGCTAGCTATTCAAATAGTATGCAGCTAGCTAGCCAGGCAGCCAGGCAGCTACCTAGCTAGCCACGTAAAATTAAAAAAATAACACCTAGCTAGCTAGCTAGCTAACTAGCTAGCTAGCCAGCTAGCTAGCTAAAGATTCCATTGTGGGCCCATCGCCAGAGGCTTAGATCCGATAACTGGCCAGCTAGCTAGCTAGCTATTAGATCGTTAGCTAGCTAGCTAGCTAGCTAGCTAGCTAGCTAGCTAGCTAGCTAGCTAGCTAGCCTAGTAGACCAACTTGCAGCAGAGCCGGTGGCCGCTCTCCTGCGGCCCAAAATTCAGCAGCAAGCTGTAAACCCTAAGCTTTAAACCCTAAAGCCTAAACCCTAAACCCTAAACCCTAAACCCTAAACCCTAAACCCTAAACCCTAAGCTTGAGGCCTTACATCATAGACCCCGAATTTGAAACCCTAGACCCTAAACCCTAACCTTAAAGACATAGCCACCAAACCCTAAGCGCTATGCGCTAAACCCCAAACCTTAAACCCTAAACCTTAAACCCTAAACCCTAAACCCTAGCCAGCGCCAAAACCAGGTGCAGCAACTGCTTCAAAGGGTTTGGAAATAAGGCGCTGCTGCAGCAGCTAATTTATTTAATTTTAATTTTAATTTACTTAATTGATTTATTTATTCCATAAAAGTCCAAAACTTTGTTTTTTATTTTCTTCAAAGTTGGAGTGCTTCGGGCCATTTGACTTCTTATTTTTCATTTTTATTTATTTATCCATTTATTTATTTATTTATTTATTTATTTATTTATTTTATAGATTTGTTTATTCATTTATTTATTAATATAAATTGTTTAATCCTTTTAATTGGCCCAAACGCCCAAAGAAGGAAAGCCAGGAAGCCCATGGGCGGCCCAGATGCTGTGCTGCTGCTGCTGCTGCTGCTGCTGCTGCTACTGCTGCTGCTGCTATTACTGCTACTTCTGCTGCTGCTACTGCTGCTGCTGCTGCTGCTATTAGTGCTACAACTGCTGCTGCTGCTGCTACTAGTACTGCTATCGCTGCTGCTGCTGCCATCACTGCTACTGCGGCTGCTGCCGCTGCTGTTAATGCTACTGCTGCTGCTGTTGCTTCCCTCAGGCTTCCTGCCTTTACTTCCGCTGCTGCTGCCGCTGCTGCAGCTGCCGCTGCTGCTGTTGCTGCGGCAGCTGCTGCTGCTGCTTCTTGCCCTTTTTTCGGTGCTTGTTTTTGGTGTTTGCTGCTGCTCTGACTTTGTTGAGGTAAGCTGCCACGTGCTGCTGCAGCAGCAAGGCTGCTGCTGCTTCTTTTTCTTTTTGCTGCTGCCTTGCTGCTTCAATCCACTTTTGCTTCTGAGCTGCAGCAGCAGCAGCACGGCAAAGCCGCTCTTCTTTCTCCTGGTGTACGTACACCCCAGACGCAGCAGTAATTCCTTTCATTTGTTACTTTTATTTTATTTTTATTTCATTTTTATTTTATTTTTATTTTATTTTTATTTCATTTTCATTTGTTTTATTTTTGTTTGTTTTATATCTAATTGTTTAATTTCTTTTTTGCTATTTTATTATTTTATTTATTTTATTTGTTTTGTTTTTAATTCTGATTTTATTTATTTGTGGCTTCTCCAGTTCATTTTTCCTTTTACTCCTTTAGCTGCTTCTTACCAATTAATTAATTAATCAATTAATTAATTAATAATATGAAGTATTTATTTATTTATTTATTTGTTTGTTTATCTATATATTTGTTTGTTTGTTTGTTTGTTGTTGTATTTATTTGTTTTTTATTTGATGATATATTCTGGACAATTGATATGTTAACACTTATACTACTACTACTGCTGCTGCTGCTGCTGCTGCTGCAGCTGCTGCTGCTGCTTACTGCCTTGGAGGCTGCTTCTGCAGTTTCTTTTTGAAGTTGGTTTTGTCTCCTTCTTAGCTGCTGCGCTGCTGCTTCTCTGTCTTCTGCTGCGCTGCGGCGCAGCTCTTGCTGCTGCCGGGAGGCAGCTTGCAGCTGCAGCAGGAAAACAATTTTAGCTTTAATTCTTTCCATTTTGCTTCCTCCCTTTTCCCAATTTGACGCCAAAAGAAGACGAGATAGGGTTTAGGGTTTAGGGTTTAGGGTTTACGGTCTACGGTCGAAGGTTTCGGCTTTCGAAATTAGGGTTTAGGGTTTATGGTTTGGGGTTTGGGGTTTAGGGTTTAGGGTTTAGGGTTTAGGGTTTAGGGTTTACTTGGATGATGCTGTTGGTGACGAATTCGGCGGACTTTTCGGCGACGAAGAGGTCCTGTTCGATGGTTTGTCTGGCGCGTTCGATTTGCTGCTGCTGCTGCTGCTGCTGCAGCTGCTGCTGCCAGCTGCTGCCCTCGAGCTGCGCAGCAAGGGCCCTTTTCCTAAACCCTAATTTGCTGCTGCTCTGCTTCTCGAGGGTTTGGATCTGCCCCTTCAGGCTCGCAGCTAGCTGCCCAGTCTCTTTGAAGTTGGCAGCAAATTCTGTTTCTTCTTTCCGCAGCTCCGTCTCCAGCAAATGCACAGCCTGCAGCATTTCCCGGTTCCGCCGCCGCGCCTGCAGCAGCAGCAGCAGCAGCAGCAGCAGCAGCAGCAGAGACGCGGGGGCAGCAGAGGCAGCGGCGAAGAAGCAGCAGCAGCGGCAGCGGCAGCAGCGAGAAAGAAGCAGGGGCAGCAGAGGCAGACGAAGAGCAGCAGCGCGAGGGATAGCAAGAGCAGCAGCAGCAGCAGCAGCAGCAGCAACGGCGGCAGCAGCAGCAAAGCAGCAGAGAGGGAAGCAGAGGGAGAAGTGGCAGCAGCAACAACAATGAGAAGCAGCAGCAGCAACAACGAGAAGTAGCAGCAGCAGCAACAATGCAACGGAGAAGAGCAGAAGCAGCAGCGGGAAGAGAGAAAGATGAACAAATAGCAGCAGCAGCAGCAGCAGCAGCAGAAGGGGAGCGAGCAGCAGCAGCAGCAGGAAGAGAAGTACGAGAAGCAGCAGCAACAGCCGCAACCGCAGCAGAAACAGAAGCAGCAGCCGCAGGAATTCGGACAAAAAATTGCAGCAGCAGCGGCAGCAGGAACAGCAACAGGAACAGCACCCGTAGACGATGAGGGAAATGCAGCAGCAGCAGCAGCAACAGCAGCAGCAGCAACAGCAGCAGCAGGGACAGCAGCAAAAATGCCGAAAGAGCGATAAAGACACAGAAAAAGAGCCCCCCGCCACGGAGCAAAAGCAGCCCCAGCCAGCGTTCCCAGGGCCTAGGGTTTAGGGTTTAGGGTTTAGGGTTTGGGGACCTCGTTGAGTCTCTCCTGCGCGTGCTTCTCCTGGGCCACGGCCTCCAGCAAACCCTTAAAAGTGTTTGCTTCCTTCAACTCCGAAATGGTTTGCTGCAGCAGCTCTTCTATGCGCTGCCGCTCCCGCTGCAGCTTCAAGTAGTTGGCCTGC